GAACCTTTTGTAATTAGTATAATTAACTTCAACCAATTTTTTACGCGATCTATGTTATAATTTAAAAAATTACATAGCTTTATAACTGTACACATTTACGTTTATGGGACCAATCGCAAAAAGAGCACCAAGATTAGGCAGTTTAATTCGTAATTTAATTTAATTCATAATAATAAGCATAAGATAGAGGAGACAATCAAAGGAAAAAGTTGCTTCGTTTGAGATCAAAGAGTATTAAAATGACCAGTCGTTAGTTAACCTTTGGTCAATGCAGCAAAATTAATACTTATAGTACAAGTACCAATTGTATAATACTATTCGATATTGGGATACTTTGTCCTACTGCGTACATTGCCAATTGCTTAAGAAACAACTTGGTAAAGCGTTTATCTAAACGAGTTACATAAATTAACGACAAACGATAAACGATATGAATAAATAAATTATGCGGTATAAAAATATACTTCCATGTGAAAAAAAAGCTCTATCTACAGAAATGATACGGATGTTGTCATATTAAAATCGAAATGATTTCATTACTACGATACAAAATTTACATACGAATCCCTTATATTAGCAATAAAATTAATTTCAGATTTAACGTTTACAAAATACGATGATAGATACGTTCAAGTGACAAATAATTGAGAAACTTTTAATAGATTGATATTATCATAGAATTTTTATCCGTCCTCTTCATTTTGAAACGTAGAAGTGGTATTACTTTTGATTCGAGTACTCGATCCGAGTAATGCAATTGGTTACATTATACGCTATGATTTGACCATGACCTTTATCCCACCAACAACTTCGACGTATTCCGCTTGATAAATTTTGTCTGCTAGAACGTTTGTAGCAAGTTACGTTGCTTTGATTATTTCTAAATTAATATCTGCAAAGCGGTAACCACACGGCAACAACCGGCTTATAAAACGTCTACCTTTATCGTATGCACGTATGTATATCTTGCTTACATCATCCCCTCTCACGACTGCCTTTTGCTTTATCTATGGTTATCAGGCAGAATTTTAAAGTTCCGCTCGTTTCGGTACATTTAATGCCGGGGCAAAGAAAATTCACGAAGTAAGGGAAAACGGCGTTCGGAAAGTCGATGTGACTATTTTCTAGCAACGAAGGAAATCGAATAATTTCGATATTATCGGTCAACGTTCACACCCTTCGATCAGTCGGGGGTGGAAAAAATACCGGCGACATTCCGGCGCCTCTCGCTACGCAAAATATATAGAACCATACCTGACTCGTACTATCCGTAACCATCGTGCTTTATAAGAGACTAGGCACTATCCTCCTGATTCTTTCACTCGTCCAGCAACTGCCGAACACGAAGGTTCTTTTTCTAGGCACGCGTTAAATCACCATTCATGCACTCCTGAGGTAACGCGGCGATAGATGAATAGGAATATAGGAGCCGCCCCGCATACGAAACCAAGGCGCAGAATCGAGCGGCAACGATTACGGGAAAAACAGGGGTTGCATCGTTGCCTTTCTCACCCCTTCTTATACCTGTCCTTGTTTTTCTCCCACCAACTCATGCGGTGTATCGGTTCCCGACACTATGCGCACGCGCTTATCAAATTTGATCACACACCTACGCATACGCATACTTTCTCTTCCCTTCTCTCTCTCTCTCTCTCTCTCTCCCTCTAGGGGTATGACAGCCTAGGAAAATTAACCAGGTTTCTCAACATGCGAATATCAGCCGAACAAATATTACCACCGATATTACATACATCAATGTATCGTGGGATACAATTTCTTGTTACATCGACGACAAAAATTCAATCGGACATAGCGATATTTTTAACAGCTGGTTCTATATTGCTTTTATCTTCGAACAAGTCTACTTACATTTAGGTAAATACCTTATATGCGATATCAAATTGCAAATTGGTCATTCGCGATGATTTGATCAACTTACGTTCTAAGAAAGAAATAAAAGATAAAGATAGGTTATTTCTTTTTATGCGGTACATGTACTATATATGTATATAGGAAAGTGTAGCAATGAAAACACAATACATAATACGTTCGAGAGATTGTACGCATGTGCGATAGTCGAACGAATTCAAAAACGACTATTAACCAACTTTCTCGTTGTTTTATGATATGTAGTAAATGTGGTAAAAGTGAGTTAAGTAAAGTCAACGGAAAGCTTACGATCAATATGACATATTAAATAATCATACAACTTTTAAAAATAATATTCCATCGATATTCTAAAACTTTAAATTGTCTTCAAAAAATCCAGTATTTAACCCATTTAATTCCTCCATTAATATATGCATTTCCTGCACATGCATTTATGCACACGATGAATAGAATAATATATTTTATGACGCATAATTTACTAATATTCATATATTGAGTTTACTAATATTTTTAAACGTCGTTCCAAACTGCTTATTATTATTTTAATTGTACGAGCGTTAGCTGACTTGATAATAATCTTATATTTCCAAATTATTATATATAAAATTCTCTACAACCAACAACATGTAATTTACCTATCGTTACGTTTAATTTCGAAACATAATCACCTGCATTTTTCATTGTAGAAAAAAAACATACACAGATTGCAGATATAATGAAAATTGAATTGTGGCGGGTTAAAGAGAATTATAAAATATAGTAAATAAGTAATCGTTTATTAGTATTATTACATTTTATAAAATAATATTATTATATCTTAGAAAACAAAAGAATATGTATCATAAGTAAAAAAAAGAAGCTTTGAAATCACGAATACTGCGACTGTTAGAATATGAGAAATCATGTTTTACTTTGTACATGTTTTACACTGTCTTTGTTGTTGATTAAGTCAGAAAAAAGATGTTGAGAACCTATTTATTTCGACAAAAGGAATACGTTTAATAAAATCGAAATACTTTAACGTCACTTACATGTCTTTAAATATTAATAACGTCTCTGTTTTCAAATTAAAGTTTGTGATATGATTATAAAAAATTGTACTCTTATATATACTTTATGTTGAAAAATGATGTAAAGCTTATAGTATTTAGATATGTAAATCTAAACTGCTTCGACTTCCTACTTCGTCATAACTAACACGTTTCGTTTCGTGAACCAACAATACGATAATTATATGAATTTTCTAAAAATATCTTTCACCTTCTTAAACACTGGATTTTCGCCAATATTACAACGTAAATATGGATGTAATGAGAATAACAAGACAGTCGATATCTTTTTGATACGGGTATGAGAATCAAAATTCTATCAAGAAATAGTATGCTGCAATTATTATTCATGGGATGTTATTACTGTAATATTTGTTTCGAAAACCCGGAAATATATTTAGCTCGATGTGCACTGAAAAGAGGAAAGAAATTTTTTAAATGCGTCATATACATTGTGGTATAAGCTTTAGCACAAATATGTTGCACATCCTTTGACATATGTTATTTTCACACATTTTTACCTGGAACTTAATGATCGGTGGAAATGCCTCCTCTGTCGTCATTCCCAAATAATAAACTGTGTATTTCGTTTGACAGACTTTACGTATACGTATATTTTCTACACTCTATACTGAAAACGTAGGTCAGAGGGTATTTATAGCATTCCGTTTTATTCTCATGAACGCCTTTGTGGTGCATCTGCTTCGATGATTTGCATATACATATTTTATTTAAACCAATCAAACATACTTAGCACTATTCTGTTTTACTAATCGTTGCTTTAACGTAATAATATTATTTTCTGGCGTCCAAAATAAAAAATAGCTGAATTAAAAAGCTCCATTTCTTTTTTCGCTGACGTTAAGAAAATTATGCGTAATTGACTTATTTTATCAATTGTAATAGTCCTAAGATGCTTGTTTCGTATCGTTATCGCTATTAAATCAGATTGAAGGATAGGCATGCATGCATTCCTTATATCAAAATCATCTCTGATTATTTTTTTAGAATAAGCCTTTAAACAGTTTAATTTACATTCAACAATTCGATGTTATTCTATTACCACCATTAGAAAGAATAAGAAAAAATGTAATATTATTGAAATAGAGATCATAATGATAAGTACATTATTTATATTAATAGCAAATAACAAAATAATTATAAAAAATTAAATATCTTTTTATTTTATACATAGTTATATAAGTATGTATGAAACGTAATAAACGTAAAATTTTTATACAGTAATAGTTCATGGATTAGGAGTTATTTATGACAAAGTAGTAAAAAGATATAAGGATTATCAATTTTTAATACATTTCGTTAGAAGAAAATTATACAAAATATTGTTAATCCATTTTTTTGATGTACGATTTTTGTTTTTCTTCATTTATATTTTTGTATTAAAATTTGAATATCCGTGTGTGTATTGTTTTCATCTTTATTCTCAAATTTTCTGTCCTTCCCTTCGTCACGTGAGCGATCTAACATAAAATTAAAATAATTATTTGTCCTGTAATACATGTAAAGTAAATTTCATCTAACACTTTATATCCGTAGTAGATCCAGGACTTTACCCTTATTTTACGTACTGACAGCCAATCAAGCGATAACAAATATGCAGAATACCAATATAATTCATCTTTTTTAAATTGACAAACATTTCTTTTCTTTTCATCTTCTTTGTATTGATTTCTTGTTTATTACTTGCTTATTATCTTAGTCATTTTTATTCACTCCATCTCTTTCTTTTTATTATTCAATCAATTTTATCAAATATTAATTGAAAATTTGTGTAAGATTGGGGGAATAATTTCATGTATTTCTTCTTTCACTATGCTCCCATAATTTCTCATATTTACGCGTGTATTAGACAATATTCCTTTTATTCCCATTTCTCTCTTTGCCTTTCTTAATTAGTTTTTATCTACCGTATGAATTATTCTTATGATCATAAATAAATATATATGTATTGAAAATATATATTTTCTTTTATCTACTTATCTCATTTATTTTCTATCTTCTATTATTTAGAAAACCTTAATTTAACATACATATATACTGTATTTATTAAAACTTTCAAATACTATAGTAAATCATTGTACATGGGGAGCATTACAAGCACGTTAATAATTTATAAATATATTCTTTCGTACTTAACTCCACCAGAAACTAATCGAAAAGCTTGGAGTCAAAGAAGTTACATGATGCCACCATTTTGGAGGAATGTAAAGTATTTCTCCAGGTCTCAAATAGGTCATCAAACCTTTAGCTTTGCTAAAATTAGGCCATTTCTCATAATTTGGATTCAAAGGATCAACTTGTGCAGTGTTATTCAATAATCTTGTATCATATGGATACAAATTAGATGAATCATTTGGGTGATATAAAATGACCCGTTTGTGTCCAAATATCTAAAATTTAGTAAAAAGCCAATACTGTAAGTTAATATACTAAATTATATACTAATCTAATACAAATACAAAGCTATTAGATTATAATTATATAACAATACAGAGGTATAAAAATAATAATTTACTTCTCTAAAATAGAAGAAGTTAAAAATTAGGAATGACAATAATTAAATTCTATATACAATAATGATCAATAATAAATAATGAAATTATGTAGCAAAAATTTGAGATTTAGTATATACAATAAACTATATTATATTATTTTTTTTCGCAAATAATTTATCTTATATCTTATCATAGAATGACAATTAATTTTCATACTTGGCACAAAAGATTATTTTTAGGATCGAAATGTAGAGGTGAAACAGTTCCGCTAGGTCCAAACCAAGCATTTATATCTGGTTGTTCCACATCATCATTGTCTGTAAAGTTACAATATTCAGGAATTGTAAAATCATCTTTCAATTCAGGAATCTAAAATCATTTTGACATAATTAATATTTAGATTTTCGTTAGAAACGTTAAAACTATAACAAATATCGAGAGATAAAAAACAAAACCTGTTCAAATAATTGATGTTGAGCTAAGTAACCAACTTGGTCACCTTTCGTTAATACATATTTTTGTAGAAATTCTGAAAAACTAAGAAGCTGCTGTGACCAATTTTCATCGGTATAACGTGAACCAATTTCAATAGGAACCGTTCTACTTCCAGCTACGCTAATTAAATACTTTAGATCTTTCCACTGTTCTAGAGCTTTCCAATGTTTGATACATCCTAAAATATATTACATGTATTTCAAATTAAATTACAATAGAAATTAATAAAAAAAAGATATCAACTGTATATATACACTAGAATAGCTTAGAAATAATCTTCTTTCCTGTTTTAAAATTGACATGATATAACAAGAACATATTCAAATATACAGATTGATAAAGAAATGTTACCTTTCATTATTGCTGGTACTTTTGGCATAAATATTTTTGTGTAAAATAATTCCATCGAAGGTTCAACATACTGAACAATTTCAGTAAATCCCGGCAATACAAAATTATATAAACTTTCAGAATCAATAATTAATTCTTCTACATCTAACTCTCCCAATGACTCTGCTGAAGAAGATAACGAATAATCACATGAAACAGCTATTGATACATACAATACATTAACACTATCATAAACATGCATATGATATTATAATAAGTAAGACTTACTGATACAACTATTCAACGTTGAAGCAACTTTTGGTAATAAATCAGTTACATTTGGAAGCGGTGCTCCTAATAGAATACCTTTATCAATCTGCTGAATAATGTTCCTCAACAAAATTGTATTCTTTGTAAATTGTTTAGTATCATTATTGTGCTGAAGCTCCAGTAGAACTGCCTGTAGATATAGAGTATCAAATTATAAACACTTACATAAATATGATATAACATATAGTATAAGATACATTCAATGGAATGATTAATATGTTATATTACCTTTAAGATAGTACATAATGTGTAACAGTATCGATATTCAATTGGAACAAATTGCCAGTGACCAGAATTTAGTACTTCCCACGTTTTATCCATACAAGCTTCAACTACTATTAACGAATTTTTTATCCATTTTATCGATGGAATCCTTCCATAAAAAAGATAAGGATTAAATATCATTCTTACCATTTTTATGTAAAAAGTACGATTGAAATATATAAAGCCATATAGCAGTTTGTTTTATAGTATATACTATCCCATAATTATAGCTAAATAAGTAACATAAAATAATATAAATGGACTCAATATCATTTAAAGATCTTCAAATTATATTTAATTATGCTTTTAGTGAAGCACATAAAGAGTTAAAGAGAAATTACATTAATTTTATTTTTGAATATAATATTGACAATACTAGATAAATGTTTATATATTACTGTTTATTATCAGATAAATTTGAAGCCTTAAAAGAAGGAATTAAACGAATAAAAATTTGTTATTTTAAAATTACTTTTAGAAATCACATTATAGCTATATTACTATAATATAGCTACAATAATATAGCTATAACATATTTGTAATAAACAAACAATATATGTCTCTATAAAATGTAGTATAAATTTAATTCAATTTGATAACTTTAAAATGATCTCCAAGAGAGTTATAAATATTGCTTCTGTTTTTCTAACTCATGCTAATCTTGTTTCCTTTTATTTTTCAATTAATAAAAAATATAATTTAAGTATTAAATAGAGTATTATTATAAATTATTTCTGTGAAGTTTAAATATATTCATGTAATTATAATTATGTATGCGTAATAAAAAAATCATGAAGTAAAATTTGATTTTTTTTATTTTTATAATTATTTTATACAATTATATAAAAATTTCTATTTACATTTTATCTTCAATGGATGTTTTTAAATTGCTTTCTACCGATGACAAGTGTATCTTCATTTCAATAGGTAAATGATTTTCTATATTTTCAGCTAATAGATTCCAAGATATAAAGTTGGCAATAATTGTGCAATTAGACATTTTTTAAAAATGATGTATGCAACTAGAAAATAAATCATAGGTATAAATTAAAGTTATTTAGAAATAAAATATTTTACTACTTTTGTCATCTGGTTCTTGTAAATATGGCCATTGTACTATTTGGTAATCTGCTATATAATACAAAATTTTTCCTGTTAATGACAATGTTTTGACTCTGCAAAAACTTTCAACAAATATTATAGTAGTTTGCACGATACAAAATACTTTAAATAAGAATGCTACTATACATAAAGGGACACAAGTTCCTGGACCATTACATAGAAGTAACTCTGGACATTCTCTCCACAAGTAAGGAACTGATTCCAGAGTTGCATAAATAGTACTATAAATAGATGTATAGTATGACTGATGAATTTCTCTGCTTCTACGAATTTTAATTATCTTATAATCTACATTATTCTTTTCTAAATATTTAACTTTTTCAATGCTCATTGAATCTGTATCAGCATACACATATATTCTTGGCGAGTAATTTCTAAAGCTTAAATAATTAAGTATTCTTATCATTTCTGCTGTATGTCCTCCAGATCCTAATACAATCATTGTTTTAATTGGTTTATTTCGAATCGATTTCCTTCCGCTTGTTTTATGTGTAGGAAACATTACAAAATATATTCTTGCAATGATTATCATACAAACAATTATACAAATAGAAATGTAATATATCGCGTACATTTTTGTAGTATAACCTGTAACAATTTAAATTAAAATAATCAATCTATCGAGCTGCTTTAGATAAGCCAAAACAAAATAAATTGTTAATTATTACATATATATGTCATGAAAGCATAAAATCTAATAAAAGTTTTTCTAAAAAAAGTACTTCAATTAGTTAATGTATGCATTTACATGAGATTTTAGTCCAAACTTATCAATCGATTATAAAAATGTATAACATTCTTAGATTTACTACATATATTTATTAATTTATTAAACAATGCATACATTTGCTACACTTTAGTAACATGTTAATGTACACATATATATATATATATATATATATCACTTCACATATAAATAAACACTACTGTATTATTAATCTATATATTACATATAACAATACTTAATTATATATTTAATTGTATAAGTACCATCTATCTATGATTAATATGGGTGATCCGAAGATAAAAATGTAGCTATCTTTTTTTACAATAACTTATCAATCGATTTGAATTCTTAAAATTTTCGTACTTCGTACATTACACATATATTCGATTAAAATATGTAATTAATAATCAATTCTTTGTTAGTCGTCATAAATTTAATATAAATATATTCGAGAGAGTATGTAAACAAATATTTATAACTTTGCAAATCTTACGGAGATAAATAGTTGCTTATATAAATTTAACAACAAATATTATATTGACAGATACAGAATGTGAAACTTAGGTTATAAACATACACTAAGAGAACGAACCACTATCGTATAGACCGTTAGATAGAAGGTTAAATAAAACTATTGACGAATATATAATATCAAACAAGAAACGAGAGTGCTCGCGCCCGTAGTTCTAGCTATTCACAGTACAGGTGCCGCACCATGCGGCCAAGTGCTCAAGTGAACTAAAGTTAGCATATACAAGAACCTATAAAAGTAGGAACTTGCCCTGTTTGGTTACACACTAGCATAGGCAAGAACCTATTTACTTTTCTATCCAATATAGACAAGTATAAGAAATTTCCACAATCCCAGTGGAAGAAATTTGAGCGCTAATCGGAAAAATGATAAAAAACAATCTCGATGAAATATATCGCAACGCCGGGTCTTGAAACGAGTTTAATTTAAAGTTGCTACATATAAATGAAAAAAAAAGCTATTTCAACTATGCGCGATAGCCACGAATCGCAACGCTTGATTTAAAATTAACGTCATTTTAATAATTATTTATAATTATTAACAAACTCTACTCTTCGACAAATTCTAATAATTATTCACGATAGGAAATACTAAGAAGAATCGTGACATCTTATAATTCGCAACGCTAAAGCAAACGCGATCATCGTAACGCTAATCCAAACCGAAGTCGATACTTTTTCGCAACTCTAACTGATAACGCGAAATTTACGTTCTTCGCAACGCTAATGGCAAAGAGCGCGATTAGCCCGACACAACAATGGGCCGATATGTAGGTCAACTAACAAACAAATCACAACTATTGTACTACAACTACTACTACTACTACAGATACTAAAGGCGAGCACAGTGACGAAATAGTAACGAGAATGACTTTCCATTGTCTGGATGATGCAGAAGATGCAAAGCCATTGGTAGTCGCCCTCTTCTATGGCAATTTGCCGGGCCTCTTCGGCTCGTAGCCTCTTCTTTCTTCGGGCGCGATGCCCGCTGAAACTTACATCTAAGCTCGAGACTTTCTAAATCGTAAACCAAGAAAATAACTTACAAAGATGCAATGAAAATGTAAGTGGCGAAAGCTGATCCAAGCGCACATGGATGAACATGGTCGCTGTCCGTTCGCGCGTGCATGCTCGAGTAATACGTAAACGTTCGTAAAAATCGTTCGATGTGCAAGAAGACCTGTCCTGAACTAATAAATAATACATAGAAAAAGGAAATGTTACTACGCACGGGTATAATAAATACCCGCGGTCACTGTGCTCGCAAAAAATTCTACGTAATACAACCAATCACCTGTGTCAATTCGGACCTTTCGTCCTACGACATGATCGAGTAACCGGAGGAACAAAAATGCATGCGACTCGCCATTAGATGCGAAGAACAGGGTCATCGATGCTCTGGTAGCTCAGGGAAAGTCATCGTGAAGACCATCATCAAGGGGAGCCATACAATCCCATGGAAGAGAGCTGTAACAAGGTACGAAATATTATAATTTATTCTTAAACATAATGCTAATAAGTTGGAAAATTTGAAATAGTGGAAAATTAGCCTCTAATAATCTCTGTAAAACTTTTAAAGACAATAAATTCATTCAATTCAAGAATGGCAAATGTAAATAGAAGCAATAGAATTAAATGAAGTATAGGTTATTACAAAATTATTTACATTCCAGACATTTGAAGCCCCATTAGGTCTTCTTCAGGAAACAGGAAGAAGTGGAAGTAGTGATAAACCTTTAAAAAAATATGAATTATTATTATGAATAATGTACATATGTGAATAACGTTTTTATACTAATAATTTGTTTGAAAAACTGGCTGATAAACGACCAAAAAATTTCAGATAATGAACAATGAAACTCTATGCAAACTTCGAGCTCTATTAATAACAAAAAAGTTAAATTGCCAGTAAACTTTAATTACTATAACAATTGAAAAACTACAATAACAATGTTTAACCTAGAAATGATGAGAATCCAATCATGTTTTTGAAGCATGCTAAACATTTTTATTGTGCATTTCAATATCATAACTTTTAGATCTTACATCAATGGAAATGAATAACAGTTTGATCAAAATACGAATGATAAAATAAATTAAAATACAAATACAGAAATGCTTACATTCTTGGGGAGATTCCAGGAGAGGCTATATCCTCTTGCGAAACTTGCGTTTCCACTACCGAGAGCGAATGTTTAAAACAAAGATGTATAAGAAAAAAAAAAGAAAAAATGGTTATTGACGCTTCCATTTACATACTGACTCTAATTTCGCGTATAAATATTGTAATTGAATTTATCATATAACTATTAAGAGCTATTGTGCTCTAGAAAATATAACAAATATTATTACACAGGAAACACTGACTCTATTGGCTGCATTGCACGCGGTCACAAACATTCTCTGAAAAAAAAAGTTGTGTTAGCTGACCGGCGGACAGGGAGGGGGAGAGGCAGAGTATTTGATTAGGAAATACTGCTGTTTTTTTGATACGTATATTCATTTTTCACGGACAAACAGCTATTACACACAAATATTACGAAAATGGAATATACGTGTAATATTTCAAACACTGTTTATATATTGCGAGATATCTTCTGATATAATTACAAATATTTATTAATATCCGAAAACGTAAAATCAATACTTTCTTCAAGAAGAATTCAATTGTGAACGTTCGTTATCAGAGTTTGAAATATGATTTTTACTAACGCATTATGTTGCACTTTATAGAGATTCGACAATGCTCGTAATAAATTAAACTTTCTTAACTAAACATGCCTTACAAGTGATTACAATGTATAATATAATCTTGCTCTGAAACGTGTCTGAACATGTGTTACGCAGATTCTTTCGATAAAATAATAAACTCATTTTTTCGTACAAATATATAAAAATATAATAACTTAGTAATAGATTATTGTCTAACAACAATCGAATAATTCGTATAATTTGCTATATATTGATATAAAAACATTAGTTACTTAAGACAATCTGTATATTCGAAGTACTTTTAAAAAGTGACTTTTTAATTCCTTTTTTTTTAAATCTTAATATCTTCAAGAAATTATGCAATTATTTTAAAGAATAATATCATTATATATCAATTGTAACTCGTATAACAATTATATAGCAAATATTGATTACCACTGATCCAATAAAAAGAGAAAATAGCCGTGTACATACGTTTGCTTTATTAGAATAACTCAACCTTTACTAAATCTGAATGGGAAATCAAATGGTTATTAATCACCTATGGCGTTCATTTCCTACCAGTTCGAATCATCGATTATTAATCGTCTGTGACGTGTGTGCCGTAAACCTCTACTCTTTCAATCAGGTGACCAGCCAATAATCTGTACAAAAGAAAATCAACAATTTCAAATAAATGTATGACGAAACCAATAATTTTCAATAACAGAACAAATTATAGTAGGATAAAGCAACAATAGAATTCAAATCCTACCTCAGGGACCGGTAATGTGAATTATCGATAATTCTAGCCATCAGAAATACAGCCAAGAATAAATGTATAATAAATCAGTAATTTACAAAAATGGAACCAATTATAATGAAATGAAACGATAATCGATTCCAAATTCTGCCTTAAAGATCGGTAATATGAACTATCGATGACTGTAAATTGTCAAGTATAGTCAACGATGAAAGAAAAAAAAATTCCCGAAT